AGCCAGGACTAAAAGAAGTGGTTACCAGTCCTTACTGTCAAGTCAGCAGCCAACGAAGAGGCCTTGTCTGAGGCATACTTATGTTCTTCTTTTTTGACTTTATCCATCATTAACGGGCCACCCGCCATGCAGGTCTCACAGGACACTGTCCTAATGATTGTAGCTGCGACTCCAACCCTGAATGAGCACCACCTTTTGATCCCTACCGTTCTGTTCCAGCTCCTGTAGCCTATGGCGCAAGGAAATCCCAACATCAATTGATATTTCACAATTCAGAAAAGGCTTGTTCACCTGTCCAAGAGCGTAGATCAGTCCAACAGCGCCACCAAGGCGACCACCGAGAACATGCGAAACGAGGAAAGTAGATCCCTCCGCTCTGCAAAAACTGCAAATAGGCTGTATTGGAATGGAAGGCGAAGGGGTTTCGCTATTGACTGAGTCGGAAAAGGCATAAACAAGTGGCGACGGCTTTCCTTGAAGCCACCATAAACAAAGCTAAATGGAATTAGGAATAAAGGCAAGAGCCAAAAGAGATGAGAGCTGGTGTTTGGAACAGGTACACTGAGAATAGACGATGGGAATTTGAAGTCTGTATCATAAAAAGTTTTATTAGGTCAGGTGGTTTAATGGTCAGAGTTGATATTGTTCAGACCCTATTTGGGGTTCGACTCCTCCCAGAGCTCCTAAAGCAGTTCATCACCAAAAATCGGGAGTAGCAGGACATGAGATCCACGTCTAAAGGCGCAAGACGGGAAAGTGGAGAACTTAGGGAATGAAAATTTTTTGGCTTCTTTGTGTGGGCCCTCTCACAAAAGTGGTGAGTAGTAGAAGTGATGGGAAGGTAAGAAGAACTTGTGGAATGCGTGGCGCATCTTAGAGAGATCAGTAAAGCTGCTGGTTGTCGCTGTCGACGGTGCCCAGTACACGAAAGTCATTTCATGAACAGCAGAAAATAAATGTAAAGAACGAACCAGTTAAAAAAGGTCATATTGATCTCTAGCAGATAAATTGGCAGCCTAATCGATTAATCAATACCTGAATTTGACAGCGTTCAACGATCCCGATAGCTGAGAAAACGGTAATCAATGCCAAAGCTGTACAGAATATAAGCAGCAGAATCGCATTCGCCACACCAGCTGTGCCCTAAATCAGGTGTTTTTCAATAGAATACAATGAGACACTTGTAGTGCAGCGGCTAGAGGCGCACTTGAGAGCGATTATTGCTCAATGGTTCGTGTTTTGCGCCTAACAGTCTGTCGCCTGAAGCATCGTAAAAGCGATATTGCCGATAATTGCTGATCTACGGCCACGATAAGGGCGCTGTGTTGAGGCGTAAGCAAATCTGCGGTGCGTTTTTCTCGAATGAGTAGCTTTTTTATTGAAGAAAAAATTCATTACAAAGTGTCTTCATCATGCTCATAAGCATTTCAGGTGAGTTCCCGGGCAGTTCTTCAAGTATCAGCTCAATCGTTCCAAAAAATCTGTTCAATAGCACGTGCACGACGTCTCCCATGAGGATCCATCAGTGATTTCAGCCTCGTTACGCTGATCGACGCCAACATCGAGTGCTCGCCAAATTGGCCTAATGTCGCTGAGCTCGAGCGGGAGGCGGCCGGACGTGGCCCGATCACGCCTCTTTTGGGGCCTTTCTTCTATTTCATCCGGCACAAATTTCCGGCCCCGGACGCTGACGCCAATTGGACTTGTTCATTTTGACGCCTTTTGACAAATGGGCTGCCAATACCCTCATAAAGTCCTTATGTTCGCTCCGTGTTAATCCCAATAAATGCTCGGCCCCGAGTAAGTAGGTGTGGGCCGTTAGCAAGTGGAAAGGAAAGGTGTTCCCAAAAACGATTAAAAATTTCGTTTTTGAGTTGGTTTTCGTGAAGATATTTTATTGTAGATGCATAAGCAGCTAATAAATATAACCACAAAATAAACAGCTGGCGTGAATCGGCGCATTGGTCCAGGACCCTTTCAATCACTCCTGCAAAGTGACAAGATAAGCGCATACATGGCGCAAACACAAAACTGACCACAATCCAACCCATTCGCAAGAAGACGATAATGCCGAAGATGTTCACCATAACCGTCGTGAACACACCGTCCCATGTGCCAAAAAGTACCGGCTGATTGAGCAGGAAATTCCTGAACACACCTTTCATCCGAGTTAATACACTTGTTAAACCAAGTTTTTCAAAAGTATTTCGAAAAAACCTTAGTAGAAGTAAAAAAAGAGGGCTAAAAAGAGTAACATATCGAAAATTTTAAGGACAAGGATTGCGAAATACATCTCAATAGGTCATATTTCGAGGGACTTCTAGACTATTGATTCCATTGAGGTGATTTCGTTCCAATGAGCCCCTCGCCCTAGCTTTTGACTGGTTATAAAATTTTAGCTTGTTGTTTCCTTTGAAGGGTTTTTTGCGTTTCATACTAGTTATTTTATATAAAGTTGGGAAATGGTAGGATTAGAAATTAAAAAATATAAAAATGACCAAATTCGGTATCGCTAACTGAACGGACCTTTGCCACCATGGCACGATCTCCTGCTCGCGGGTTTCATGCGCGTACAGCGAATCCGGCCTCCGGTGGCTCCCCTGTCGAGGCGGTGGCGGCGGTGGAGGCGGCCATTTGCCTAGAAAAGTCAGCTAGAATCACAGAGAGAAATTTGGCCACAAAAAATTGATCGATTTGTTAATCGATATTCAACTAGGGTCATATTGGAGAAAAATCTCCACAGAAGGAAATGTTAAAGGCAGAAAGGAAGGAATGAGCAGCAAAAAATGAATGGTGCAGGTAGAGAAAAAGGCTCCTCAGCCCTAAACTAGCTTCTTCCTCTCCACAATATGGGCCGGGAAATGGATTGCTAGAGGAAAATATGTTGATGCGCACGCAATTCGGTTCCTACTCAAAATCCTACTGGTCGCGCGAATACGTGTTCCCTCGTACAAAAATAAATTTTGAGGCGATAAATTTAATACTTGAGAGGTTCCTCATTACCAAACTCCGCAACACACTTTAATGTCACGCATATACATGGAATGTACGGGAAGCCCGAGTGCTCATCGAGAGCTAAATGGATAGGTAGGTGGTTGAATTTCGAGTTTTGTCCGAGACCTAAGCCTTGAAGAACTCTATCTGGTGCGTTTCTCCCACCAGCAGTGCCTTTTAAAATTCTTTGTGGTTTCTTCAAGGTTCAGACCAGCGTGGGATACGGAGCAACTGAGAAGAAGGTTTCATCAGGATGAATAACAGTGCAGGAAAGGAGTGTAAGCACCACATGTGATGCAGCGCTAAGTTGGTTGCATTAGAGCCCGTCAGCACCATTCGTGGTGAAATCTCCTTGCGTTTCGGGTGACAGTTCGTGCTCGTCGGATGTGTATCCGGCAATGAGTAGGAACAGGCGGCGCCAGTCGAACCCCAAATTCTGTCTCCAATACTGTGTCATTTGGCCACGACACCCGGTCCGTGGTAGGCTACGATAGCTCACTGCGGAAGATCCTGCTTGGCAGGGCGCAAAATCAGCTACATAGGGGGAGTTGATTGCGGTATCGACCGTGCGTGGAGTGGCAACGACTGGCATGTTCGGATAACTCGCTTCGTTTGAACATGTCTTCCTCCCAAGCCAACCTCTTCCGCTGCTGTTGGTGAGTAGGGTTTCATTTCCGTTCCTGTTGACGGTTGCTTCCCATTTTTCTTCAATCGCGTTCCATTTGGCATCTCTGCAATTCAGTTTTAGGCGCAAGATTATCCCAACTCAATCCCAGCCAGCGTCTTTCAAGTAAGACCTCTCTAGACAGATATACCACTGTTTTGGAGATTAGCCCTAGCGTGACCAGCGTTACCAGCATATAAACGGCTTCTGTGGCTCTGGTATTTTAGGACTGGCTGGCTCAACTACCGCCTCCAATACTCTTTTACTTCGAACCCTCTGGAATATCTTCCGTGCTCGGCCACTGAGGAAATTTCAGAAAAAGGGCTTTTTTTTCCAAAGGCGTGTAAAGAATATCCAGATGCCCTTGAAAATTGCTTCTTGCATCTCATTTAATCGCCTCCGTGTCGGCGAGCCATTTCGCCTACCAATTATTCCTTCCGTGATTTTCTTATTAATTAGGTACTACCATACCGGTTAGAGAACAGAATATTAGCACCTGGGTGGGTTCCACAGAGCAGAGCATCTAAATAAATGCAAAAGCACTTGGGAAAGAAAACTGAGAATATTTATCAGCCCACATCGGCTTCAAGAAGTAATCATTCAGCATCAAAGGAGCTACAGAAAACCGACAAAGGGCAATATTTGTAGTTGACCTCTATTCCAGATATTACAGCCTAGGACAGTCTTAGAACTTTGAAATTCGGAAGTCTGCGGGAATGTGCCGTTGAATATACGAATTACAGGAGATTTCGTAGTGTAGTATTACATTCGCTTTTGTCACGAATTTAACCTATTCAAGCGAAATCGTGCACTAATGTGTAAAGGGCAAGTGCCAAGTGACGAATGTGCGCACCATAGAAAAGGCCAATGCGGCAGGGTAACCACTAACCACAGGGCGTAACCACATGCGATAAAACTTGATTAAGAGGCATCCCCGCGCTCAGGCCGTTGAAAGCACGGATCGTTGGAGGGAGCTGATCTCGACGCAACTTCCTACCACCACCATCAGTCTTCGGAAGGCTCCACAAATACGATCTTCATGCGATCCCCTTCCCCTTTTCTGACCATGACATCATGGCTATAGTGTTTGATTCTGAGACCAGTAGACACAGCCCTACCCCGTCGTCCATTTTTTCCTTGAAAACGGGCGTCGGGGGTGGGATAAATTGGTATGAAGTGGCAAATCCCAAAAACCCTGTTCAAATACAACCTCATTAAACGACATCCATCAACCCCCGTTCCCGCTATGATAACCTTGCTCAACCCTAAAATACGACCCCCTTTCAAGTAATCACAAATGCGACCCTTCGTTCAAATAGCAGTGAACGGCGGTCGCCTGGCTGTCCAATTATCGTAATCAACTGAATCACCGCGTCAGTGATGGCTAACCTTTCAAGGAAATCCGTCGAGGAGGGATAATATTATATTTTAAATTGAGATAGTTCGGATTTTATAATATCTCTACAGAGGGGAAGGCTTTTTGAACGGTATGCGCATTGGAGAAACTTTCAAGGATTGGAGGGTTTTTTGAGGGAAAAGGACAGAAAGCAGTAAAAAACTTTAGAGGGTTGGCGTGCTGCGTTTTTGAGGATGTGCCATGCCATTCTCGCGCCCCTTTCAGAAACTCGTCATACGATGCCTACTTGCCTTTTTGGGGCTCATTAGCAGTCAGGTTTGTTCAAGCCAGGCCTTTACTCAAACAGGTTAATGTTCAACTAGCCGGCCAATGGAGAGGGAATGGCGGTTTCCTGAACAGAAATTGGAGTCTGCGGGCTTCTGTTTGGCCCCTGTACCCAACCAACTTTTTGCCGTAGCGCAATACACCCTGAAATGCCCAATTCCAAAATTTATAAGTACAGATTGCTAAACTTACTTATTAGGATGTCTGGCATCCAGGTCAGGCACTAGCGCGGGGAATTGTCACGAACACGTATTTGGAGCTGGCTGTTACGGTCAGGCAAGGCGTTTCGTAAATGCACATTGGATACAATTTGGGTTTATGCTTCTTAGAGGGTGGATTTTTCTCATTTAGCAGATGAAATTTCGAAAATAGCCGGATGTAGCAGGCTACGGCCAAATGGCACCGAGCCAAGTGGCAGAAGACCGGAGATCATTCTGCGATGAGAGAGGTGCTAAGATATTGATGAAGGGGCTAGGGAAGATGGAACGTAGAGATACAATTTCACTAAGGATCGGGAAGAGGAAGAAAACATTCGTGTGAACTATTATTTTTCGTATAAGATAAAATAAGCACGAGTAATGGAAATTTAGGGCGCTCGCCCGCTCTTCGGGGGGGGCGGGCGCGGGAAGAAGGGACAAGTTCAAATAGTAGCGATGGGGTAGTGGGAGACAGGGTGACTATAGAGGCCAGTAAAGGGGTAGAACACGCGGTGGGAGAAGCATAAATGGCTTGCATTGCTCCCACCTAGCGATCCTTCCCTTCTAGAGTCCCGATGCACAATAATTGGCTTCACTTGCATGTCCCCTCAATGTGCATATTAGCGCAGAAATTCGTCAGAGAGGATGGCCAGGTGGCGAGATCATAGAACTATGAGCGAATAATTTCGAGTTCGACTCCCCGCACTGCCTTGAACGGCCGTTTACGCCTAATGGCCATATTTGGCCAAACCAATTGAAATTCCGCTTGAAATCTATGGCATGCTTTTCGTGACGGGAAAACAAAAGTGAGAAGTGTGAAAAGCCTTTGGAGAGCAGCGAAGCCCTTCGAACCGGAATTAATAGCTAGCATGGGAAATCAATCTGCCACATAGCCGGCTGTGGTCACGAATAGCTGCCAGCGGCTGAACACCTAGATAAGAACTTAAGTCTTATGGTTAGCTGGAGATCAGCTCATGGAGCCATATATAGGATGAGAGATGGACGAGTTGGAACTGAGCAAAGAACGGAAAGAAGGGAAGCCTAGGTTAAATGTGCCCCCATTGGCTTTTGGGAAGGACATATAGGAGATCTGTGAACGCGTTCTTGGGTTAATTTGAGAGGAATAAGAGGAACAGGTAAGAGGGAAAGAAAAGAATGGAGGATTCTCATTCGGTCACCATTTTCAAGTGCTTTTTATGAGATTTGGACGGATTCTAAAGATAAGATGGCCGCGGCGGGCAAAATGACGATGACGGCTCGGAGGACCTTCCGAGTTGGAGTTCTTCCGGGCAGCCGTACTGATACATAAATAGGGTTCGTAATTAGGGATTGGCGAGCACTCGTCGCAGAGCAGAATCGATAGCCCTCGGCCTCCTGCCCACAGAGCCGAGCTGGGCGTTGACTGAAATGCACCACGACGTCGACGACATCCAGTGAGACAGGATGTGACTCCCGGCAATGGCGTTGGGTTTCAATCGGCCAATTAAGGGCTGTTTGGACCAAGAAGCGCTGCAAAACCACCTGGGCTCCGAACAGCGCCCATTAGCCGTCACGATTAAGTAGGTCAGGTCGTGAGGGTGCTTTCGAGAGGACGAACGTACCATTAAATTAATGTGCTTCACGAAATCC